ATTTTGCAGGTGCAATCACTAAAAAGGCTGTGATAATATGAAATGTTCCGATTGTATGTTTGGATGGGACTGTGGTGGTTGGCTGGCTTGTAAACACTGGCCACAAGTGGACGTGTCTCATACAGAACGAATCGTGTTACTCAAGTTTTTTAGCGCTAGTCGAGGCAAAATTTTTGCGTTAAAATGTATCGCTAGTCGGATTTAACGTTAGACGATGCCATCGTTGGTTGAAGGTCCACTGTATGTGTATACCGCTATGGGGCCACTAATGGTTTGAGAAGTGAACTCCGTTATTTATCGTCTGTTTTTTTTCATTTTTTGGTGTACGTTAAGAAGCATCTTTCCATCATACATTGCCCAAGTTCCAATAAGATAGCCCAGCAAACAACTGAGAGAAAATAATAATAATAATAGTAATAATATCTTTATTTATTACACGTACATATACGTGGTATATGGGCCTAGCTGACATCAGTGACATACTACTATATAGAAAGCCCCTTGTTATGCTAAGCATTTCAGGCAAATTAGGTCAGTGTCCCAGGATAACACCCACACCAGTCCACTAACACCCAGGTACCCATTTACTGATGGGTGAACATAGACAACGTGTAAATAAACACGCCCAATGTTTCTACCCTTCCTGGGAATTGAATATTTACCAAAAATCATGTATGGCTAGCCCAACCTAGGTACTAGAAATAAGCTGCTTTGTCTGATTTTTTTTGGGTTATCCTAGGTTCTCTACGCATATGCTGCTATGTGTGATAATCTGTGTAGAGAAAAATAGCTTTTTGTTTCAGTTTTATGGTGCAGTACGAGTGTATATCGTAGCCCTGTGCTATACCCCGTTTTCTCTAAGCCCCATGACAGGGATAGGAGAATGGTATTTGTATCCCATATCCTCTTCATACCTCCGTCGAACTGCTCGGTATTATGCCAAATATTATTTGTTCTGGAGTATTTAACATGTTTTATGTTATTTATAATGTTTATTATGTCATATTAGATCAATTGTGATAGGAAAATAAGCCATAGTGTTGATATTAGTGTAATAATAAAGCACATTCCCCTGCATCACAAGTCTGAGCTCATGGCAACTGACAGTGGCTTCAAAACCACCTTATCTTTAATGGCCAATGTACTGAATAGGTGCTTTGCACAACAAGAAGCATTTCTTTTATTGTTTGGAACCATGGCTAGGGCTAAAAGTAAGCAGGTTATAACAATAAATGGAGAAAAAGAAATTGGGATAAGATATTATAACCTTTATATTATAATAATACGGTAAAAGGACCCCAGTGGAAATAAGTCACTCTGTCTGACTTTTTTGGGTTATCCTAGGTTCTCTACACACATGCTGCTATGTATGATAATGTATGTAACTATTTGTGTATACCTGAATAAACTTACTTACTTACTTATGCAGCAAGTAGCACCACCAGACAGTACCAGCAGGTTGGTGTGGTGACCCTGGAAATTTGAAATTATGCAAGCCAAAATTAGTGCCGAATAATTGATGGAACTGGATGTCTGATTGCCGGATTTGTGATGATGGACCTGTAGTGGTAGTAGCAATAATAGAGTAGTACTAGTAGTAGATGTAGAAGTGGAGTAAGTCTAAGGACAAGAAAAAGGAGCACTGCAGGATAGCTAATGACTCACAAGGGTGGGACCTAAAGCACAGGAGGTAAAAAAAATCTGAAAACTGAACACACCTGGGCAGAAGAAAGGAGAAAAATAGGAAAGGAAAAGAAGGGGGGTTAGTTATATATATTTTGAAGTTTGGAGCATTTGGCAGTGTAATGAGAGAGGAAGGTATCTACAGAGACAAAGCCAGGACTAAGATTCATATTAGGAAAGTTGTGTATAAGGGATACTTCAACAGATAGCATCTGTGAATGCTAGAGAAGGGTAGACAGTTTTAGTAGAGGACCAGTCAATAGGGGGACTGTGATCTCCTATATATAATGGCTGTCTCACCTTCATTTGTTAGTGTGACTTGTAAATGGACTGAAACATCATCATAAATTTCTCTCTCCTATGTGCAGATTATTTGTGTATTGTTCCAGTCATGGTATTGTGCCTTTTTTTGTTCTTAATACTCTTGAGTTTGTGTTAATGAACACCAGAGTTCAAACTACAATTAACAACATAACACTTTATTTAATGGGGAAAATTGTGTTATGAAACATGTATTACCTTGGGAGTGCTGATCTTTACCTTTAACCCTTTCAGGGTTGGTGTCATACTAGTACGGCTTGCACGCCAGGGTCGGTGCCATACTAGTACGCATAAATTATAGCGCCTTCAAATCTAGCGAGAGAAAGCTGGTAGGCCTACATATGAAAGAATGGGTCTATGTGGTCAGTGTGCGAAGTATAAAAAAATTCCTGCAGCACACAGTGCATAATGAGAAAAAAAAAACTGTCCATGTTTTTGGTTTAAAACAGCGACTTTGCAGTGTATTTTCGTATGGTATTTATGGTTGTACTTTAGTTTTCCTGGTCTCATTTTATAGAATGGAAGACATATTACGGAAATGAGATGATTCTTATTGGTTTTACAATGAAAAGTACCTTGAAATTGGGTTCAAAGTAGCAGAAATGTTCGATTTTTGTCAAAGTTCAAAAGTAAACAAATCATGCCATGTGTCCAATACACATCAACTGGTGAGTCTAATATTCTTTCACAAGTGCGCTGATCTTATTTATACCATTTCTACACTATTTCTTCACTAATGCAGTAGTCTGCATAACAGTAAATGTTCTATTTTTTGTGAGAATAAAAATTCAAAGTGGAAAGCAAAGGAAATATAACAGAGGCCTGGGGACGTGACTAATGAACAGAGGAAATGTTATTTTAGAGTCAGGAATGTCTGTCTTGTTTATTCTGGACCCTATTTGGAAATTGCCATCTTTTGAAATTTGTGTGAAATTGGCAAAATTGCCAATTTCTGACTATTTTATAGTTAAAATCGGTAATGGGTAGTTTCTTGTATTCATTCGATAGAAAAAATGGAGTTCTACCAAAATAGGTATGATTTTTATCGACTGGTACATTGGAAATGGCCGAAAATAGGGCTCAAAGTGGGCGAAATTGCTGATGCGTAAACATCGTCGAGACCGCTAACTTCGCGAGAGCATAATTCCGTAAGTTTTCCATCAAATTTCATACTTTTGGTGTCATTATGTTCAGGAAAAGATTCCCTATCATTTCACAAGAATTTTTTTTTTTTTTTTTTTTTTTCGACTCTGAGAACAAGTTTAGGAGAGGGCCTGCCGACCCTGAAAGGGTTAAGATGGAGTAATAGAATAGATCTGATACTTATCTTATCACCTCAGCAACGGTGAATTAGGGTATTTTCTTAAATAATGTGTGTTGATTGAGAAAGCTGTTAAAATTTTTGACCAACAGTTGTTCATCTTAACCCCTTCAGGGTCCAAGGCCAAAATCTGAAGTGGTGCCTCAGTGTCCAAGAATTTAAAAAAAAAAAATTGTTATTTTTTCTTATGAAATGGTAGAGAATCTTTTTGTGAAGGTAATAAAACAAAAAGTACGAAATTTGATGGAAAATTGACGAAATTATGCTCTCGTGAATTTTGATGTGTCAGCGATATTTACGAATCGGCGATTTTGCCGATTTTGACTCCCATTTTAGGCCAATTATATTATTCCAGTCGACCAAATTCTTAGCTGTTTCACTAGTATTACTTCTATTCTATCGATTGAGCACAAGAAATCGCCAGGTCAACTGTTTCAACTACAATCTAAAGTGATTGGAAATTGGTAATTTGGCCAATTTAACACACAGTTCAAAATATTCCAATTTCAAAATAGGGTCCAGAATAAACAATGTAGATATTCCTGGCACTAAACTAACATTTCCTCTGTTTATTAGTTATGTTTTGAGGCTTTACAAATAAATTCCATTTTTATTTTTTATTCACATAATGAATTTTTATTCACACCAAAAAATAGAAGATTTACCATTATGCAATATTGTAATAATTGTATAAATATCATCACCACATTTGTGAATGTATGTTAGACCCACCAGCTGGTGTGTATTAGATGTGTGAGGTTGTTTGTTTACTCTTGAACATCTGCAAAAATTTAACATTTCCGCTACTTTGAGCTCAGTTTCAAGCCATTTTCAGTGCTAAAACTAATCAAAATCATCTCTATTTCTGTAATATGTCTTCCATTCTATCAAATGATACCAAGAAATCGCAAATACAACTATAAAAAATACATGAAAAAACACTGCAAAGTTGCTGTTTTAATCGAAAATCATGGTCTTAGTTTTTTCTCTCTCATTATACACAGTGTGCTGCAGGATTTGTTTTATGTGGTGCACACATACCACATAGATGTATTCTCTCATATCTAGGCCCAAATGTACCACACAGTTTATCAGAGTGAGCTGAGTTCATGGCGTAGATCTACGGTTTGGACCCTGAACGTAAAGCCGTAGATCTACGGGATGGACCCTGAAAGGGTTAAACAGCATGGAGTACAGTAATGACTAACAATAACTGCAGAACTTCAACACAGCATCTGTAATAATAATAATAATTATTTCTATAAGTACATGAATAATGAAAGACTGGTGTGGACTACTGTACTTGCAAAGATATTTTGTAAATCAGCAGATGTGGCTTTCACTCACTCATCAACTCTTTATTGTTCTAAAGAAGAATAAAAGTCACAATACCATGACTGGAATAATTCACAAATAACCCACACTTAGGAGAGGAAACTTGGGATGAATGTTTTGGTCCATCCTGGACCATCATAAAGTCACAACTTCATCTTTCTCTTTTAGAGAAATATTTTGAGTTATACATACATGTGTGTATTTGAAGCAGTATAATAAATGTAGCCTATTTAATTGGTCTGATTATTGATTGTGTGCAAACCCTAAAGAAATTTGCTCACAAAAATAAATAATTTTTATGTATTGCATTACAGATTATTCCTCTCTTTTTTTTTTTCAGATTTGGCAGCTGTGTATAAACATGACATTCTCTTGCTTCGCGATGTGGATAAAATGACTCAAAATTTGCCTCGCCAATGGGAATCCCTAGTCTTACCACTTCCAAATGGCCTCTCTTTCCCAATAGGCCTAACTTATGATTTGCAGGGCAATCGACTTTTTATAGCTGATGCTGTGCATGACGACACCAAGATCTTCGCTCTTTCCCTGGACTCGGACTACAAAGTGACAGCCACTCATGCAGTAGTCAAAGGTAAGTCAAGTGCAGCTCTTTACCATTTATGTATATACTTTATATCAGTTTGTTGTTGAATTCCTATTTATTGTTTTCCCTTGTATTTGTGGCATTCAGTAAAAGGCACAAATGAGTGTGCATGCACACACACATGGGCACTTGTACACATTATGTGTGCACATGCATGTAAACAAATATACATACATGAAGAAGTGTGCACAAACATGCATACATGCCACATGAGCATGCATGTGCACACACACATGCACACATGTGAGAATGCATATGCACACACGTGCACACACATACGCACACATGTGAGAATGCATATGCACACACGTGCACACATACACACAATGGTGCATGCATGCGTGCGTGCACACACACACACACACACACACACACACACACACACACACACACACACACACACACGCACACACACACACAGCGAAGAGGCGGGGCCAGGAGCTATGAATCGACCCCCGCAACCACAAATAGGTGAGTACACCACACACACACACACACACACACACACACACACACACACACACACACACACACACACACACACACACACACACACACACAAACATGCTGCAGCATATGGGCGCCTAGCAAACCTCAGAACAGCATTCCGACATCTTAATAAGGAATCGTTCAGGACCCTGTACACCGTGTATGTTAGGCCCATATTGGAGTATGCGGCACCAGTTTGGAACCCACACCTAGCCAAGAACGTAAAGAAACTAAAAGTGCAAAGGTTTGCAACAAGACTAGTCCCAGAGCTAAGGGGTATGTCTTACGAGGAGAGGTTAAGGGAAATCGACCTAACAACACTGGAGGACAGGAGAGATGGGGGGACATGATAATGACATTCAAAATACTGAGAGGAATTGACAAGGCGGACAAAGACAGGATGTTCCAGGGATGGGACACAGCAACAAGAGGACACAGTTGGAAGTTGAAGACACAGATGAATCACAGGGATTCTAGGAAGTATTTCTTCAGCCACAGAGTAGTCAGGAAGTGGAATAGTTTGGGAAGTGATGTAGTGGAGGCAGGATCCATACATAGCTGTAAGCAGAGGTGTGATAAAGCTCACAGTTCAGGGAGAGTGGCCTAGTAGTGACCAGTGAAGAGGCAGGGCCAGGAGCTAGGACTCAACCCCTGCATCCTCATCTAGGTGAGTACAACTAGGTGAGTACACACACACACATACACGTTCGTATGTGCGTGTGGCCAGAAGAGCTCACATGGGGGAGCAAAGTTTCTAGTTATGGGTGATTTCAATCACAAGGAGATTGAATGGGAAAACATGGAACCCCATGGGGGTCCCGAAACATGGAAAGCCAAGATGATGGATGTGGTACTGGAAAACCTCATGCATCAACATGTTAGAGACATTACAAGAGAGAGAGGTGAGGATGATCCAGCAAGACTGGACCTTGTATTCACCTTGAGTAGTTCAGACATCGAGGATATCATGTATGAAAGGCCCCTTGGAGCTCGTGATCATGTGGTTCTGTGCTTTGGCTACATAGTTAAGCTTCAAGTGGAGAGAGTAGCAGGAATAGGATGGGAAAACCAAACTACAAAAGGGGGGACTACACAGGCATGAGGAACTTCCTGCAAGACATTCAGTGGGAGAGAGAACTAGCAGGAAAACCAGTAAAAGAACTGATGGACTATGTGACAACAAAATGCAAGGAGACAGAGGAGAGGTTTGTTCTTAAGGGAAACAGAAATAATATGAAGACCAGAACGAGTCCTTGGTTCACCCAAAGGTGTAGGGAGGCAAAAACTATGTGTACTAGAGAGTGGAAAAGGTACAGATGACAAAGGACCCAAGAAAATAAAGAGACCAACCGAAGAGCCAGAAACGAATATGCACAGATAAGAAGGGAGGCTCAGCGACAGTACAAAAATAACATAGCATTGAAAATCAAGTCTGATCCAAAGCTGTTGTATAGCCACATCAGGAGGAAAGCAACAGTCAAGAACCAGGTAATCGGACTTAGGAAGGATGATGGGGAGCTCACAAGAAATGACTAAGAGGTATGTGAGAAGCTCAACATGAGATTTAAAGAAAGTATTTACAGTGGAGACAGGAAGGACTCCAGGAATTCAGAATAGGGAGGTACACTAACAAGTGCTGGATGAAATACACACAGCTGAGTAGGTGAAGAAGCTGCTATGTGAACTTGATACCTCAAAGGCAGTGGGAGCAGACAACATCTCTCCATGGGTCCTTAGAGAGGGAGTA